ACATGATCCCTGGAAGAAGCTTCTGTCTGGCTGAGGGATTTGTATTCCAGTTTGGGAAGAAGTTTCCCAAAACAAAGAGAGATCAGCCCCAGCGTTTATCTCTTGGCATTATGCCCAGTGAGTAATGGGGAAATTAGAGCAGTGGGTTACTGAATATTTTTATTCCAAGCTAATTACATGGTCTAGGATATGGGGAGTGACAGCTAGCCCTCTTAGATGTCCCTAATGGACAGATGGAGGCTTTATGCTTAAGTGGTTATGCCGGGGTCAGGCCTTGGGAGGCCAACTGGCCTGTAGAACGTTATGACCTCATGAAACTTAATAAACAGAGTCATTTCTTTCTAGTGCAGCAATCTTGATAACTGTATGGCATCCTAGCTATATTTCTAAAGCCCTTGGTTGGTTCCTTACACTTGGCCATTCAAAATAAGCTGTGCTTGCAGGAAGAGACATTTTGACAGGATTCATTTATTCATTGATCAAACCAACAAATCTTTAATACACAGCTACTGTGTGTCACACGCTAACCTAAAAGACAATGATACCTGTTGGATAGGACCAATAAAAAACGTAAGACGACTTTCAGTTGTGGCTTACATAGATAGGGGTTTATTTTTATCTTATAACAAGAATTCTGAAGATAGGCAATTCAAGGATGGGGCAGCTGTCCAGTGATACTGTTGGGTTCTCTGTATCTTTCTGCTTTTGCTATCCACAAGGCAGTTTATTCTCATGATTGCAAAATAGCTGCTGTACTTCCATGTATCACATCCACATCCCGGGCAGACCAAAGGCCTTCTTTTCTTACAGCTTTGTCTTTTTTTCTTGCGGGAGTCCTTCCCAGAAGACTCTCTCTCTAACTAATCAGTCTGAATTATGTTGTGTGGCCAGCCCTAGCTGGAAGGTATCTAGACATGTGAAGGGACAGATGGCTCAGAATGGCATGGAGTGAGCCATCCTGCTGTGTGTATCTACCATACTGCCCAAATGAGCTTTAGAGTTCAAAAAAGAACAGATAGATATATAGCAAATAACTCCACTGTTAAACATTCATTAATTACTGTTAGGAAGGTGTCCATGAAGGGTGTGAGTGCGTAGATAGCATGTCTTAGGTTGGGTTTTCTTTTTAAGTAGACCCTGATGTAAGGATTTGAGGAGGAGTAATTTTATCTGGAGGGTGATGAAGAAGGAAGCAGGGAAAGAGACCAGTCAAGATATTCCACTGAGCAGGGAGGGGGCTGCTGCAGGCAGCTGGGACTCAGTCTCACTGAGACATCCAGGAGATGGAGTGGAACAAGCCTCAGAGCTTTCCCCTCCCCTAAGGGATGAGATCGTGGGGGGCTATTTAACCTCCAATTCCATTCACCCTCGGCTGAGGGCCACTCCGGGGTCTTCACTCTCTGGTTATTCCAGGCTTCTCACCTGGGGAGGAAAGTCCCTTGGTGGAGAGCCACAGGTATGGGTAGTAGGAAGCTGAGGGCTCATGGGGCTCCTGTGGTCACCAGCCACATCTGCATCAGCCTGTCATAAGAGCCTTAATCTAAGCTGGGGTGTTAGGTAAGCCCTTTCTGAAGAAGTAATTTTTAAGTTGAGGCAAAAAAAAAAAAAAATGGGAACGAGGGTGTTCTAGTCATAGGGAACAGCCTGAAGATGCAGAGGTGGGAAAGAACTCCACTTGTTCAAGGAACCGAGAGGCTGGGTGGGTGAGGCTGGGGAGACAAGCTGGGCTACGATGTGGAAGGGGGCCCTGGGGCTGTGCTAGGAGGTGGCTCTGGCTAGGGAGGGCTTGTAGATTACCCCTAGGATTTTGATTTTGTTCTCAGGTACAAGATTGTGTTTATGTAATTAGTAATGGATGGATTTTTCCAGTTCTAAGGGTGTAGATAGAAGCACCTCTTTTCCGTTCTAAAAGAACACAACCAGAGACGCACGGGTAATGCTGAAGCCCAAGGGAGGGGAAAAAATCTGTCTCAATAACACCTTAGGGCCAGGGAGGAAGGAAGGGGTGGATTACTGGTCGGAAAGGGGCAGGGTGGCAACTGTTGGTGCATAGACCCCAGCACATGGTCACTGCCAGCTGGACTGGGTTGAAGAATGTCCTCCCCAAGTTCATGTGCACCCAGAACCTCAGAATGTGACCTTCCTTGCCCTTCCCTTTGGATGTAATTGGTAAGGTGAGGTTGAATTGGATTCAGTCCCCCACACTTAACCTGAAATGCTGGGGCTTGTTTGGGTCCTCGGAGCTTTCGGTTTCGGTCATGGCTTTTTAGGTGACAGATTGAGTGATGACATTACTTTATCTTTGATGTGTTTCTCTTCTTCCCAGAATCACTGGGAATCATCAGTGACTGAGCAGGATTCAGGTAGATTCTACTCGAATCCTCAGGGAAAATAGAATTGTCAAGACCTCTGAGGTTACCTTCGCCTGAGGGCCTGGAAGAAGGTCTCCTTAAGTGGATGAGCAATGTGGGACCCTGTGAAGGGACATTGCCACACTGGATGCAGGGAGCATCAGCTATTTTTACCTGCCATTGTCATTTCTCTTGGTTCTAGTGATGGTGCCTTGGTTTTCCCTTGGAGAGTCAGCTAGGTTTGCTGGATAAAATATGACACCCTGTTAAATGTGAACTTCAGATAAATGATATGAACTTTTAAACAGTATTTACAAGGCCAGGCGTGGTGGTGGCTTACCACTGCCTGTAATACTAACACTCTGGGAGGCTGAGGTGGGTGGATTGCTTGAACTCATGGGTTCAAGACCAGCTTGAGCAAAAGTAAGAACTTGTCTCTACTGAAAATAGAAAAACTGAGGCAGGAGGATCTCTTGAGCCCAAGAGTTGGAGGTTGCTATGAGCTATGATGCCATGGTACTCTACCAAGGGCAACAGCTTGAGAGTCTGTCTCCCCCCCAAAAAAAGGAGGGGGTAAGAGTTAAAAAAAATGTCAGAGCAGTTCACTTTCCAGTTAAAAACCATTCAGTCGCTTGGACTAAAACCCTTATCCTTTCTTGTGGATCTCAAGACCTCCATGACCCGGCTCTTTCCCCTGTATCCAATCTCTTCTCCCTCTGCTTGCCCCCTTCACTGTGTTCTAGCCTGATTGCCCTTCTGGTCTCTGCAGAGTGTACTAAGCCTCTCGTATAAACCGTTCTCTAGGCATAGGATGCTTTGATATCCTTCATGTCTCAGCCTCAATTCTGCTTCCTCAGAAAGGCCAAATGAGATCTTCCCTCCATCACTTCACCTTGTGACATACTGTTTCAAGCACTTTCTTTAATGATTCTCTCAACAGCTTGACCAGATCTTATCAACTTTTGGGACTTGGCACCAGGTTTCCTTAAGAATGTGTCACAGTGGGTGCCAAGATTTTGAGTCCTCAGCCATACGGGCTATCTTGGGGGCCTTTGATAGCTGCGGCCCCTGGGGCTGGACATTTCCTGCATCTAGAAGCCTCTTTCATGTACCCCTATGTACCACACAAATATTGGTATTTTCTCTGTATGCCACATTTTGGGAAAGGCTAGGAAACCTGTATTATATATTTCTTAAGGGCAGGGGTAATGTGTGGGTTGTTCATGCCCATATTCATTCATTCTTTCTTTTTTTTTTTGAGGCAGAGTCTCACTATGTCACCCTCTGTAGAGTGCTGTGGCGTGACAGCTCACAGCAACCTAAAACTCTTGGGCTTAAGCAATTCTCTTGCTTCAGCCTCCGGAGTGGCTGGGGCTATAGGCGCTGGCCACAATGCCCAGCTACTTTTTGTTGTTGTTGTCATCACTGTTGTTTAGCAGGCCTGGGCTGGGTTCGAACCCACCAGTCCTGGTGCATGTGCCTGGCGTCCTACCCACTGAGCTACGGGCACTGCCCCATGCTCATATTCTTAACATACTTTAAAGTGTCACGTCCACAGAGCGCTCCAGAGTATTTCTTTAAGGAAGGAGGGGTTTTTATGATGGTGAAAAAGATGGTGAAATTGACAAGAGTGATGGTGATGCTAAAGAGGACAGTGGTGCTGGGTGATGATGGTGGTGTCTGTGATGGCAGGAGGGGGGGTCCTGGTGGTGGTGCTGGTAATGGTAATGGTGGTAGTGATGGTTCAGTGTTGGTGATGATGGTGGTGGTGGTGGTAATGGTGTGATAATGGGAGTGATTGTTATGGTGACAGTGTTATGGTGGGGATGGTGGTGGTGCTAGGTGGACATGGCTGTGATTGCTAATGTGGTGTGGAGGTGGTGGTGAAGGTACTGATGGCAAAGATGGTGGTGGTGGCTATTATGATGAAGAAAGACTTTGGCATTAGAAGTGATAGACTCGGAGGACTTGGACTAAACCAGTGCTTTAAAGAACTTTTGCAAAAAACTAATCTTCCTGTATTTCTGCAATCAACCCAGAAAAATCATTGGAAGGGGGATTTTGGAGAGAGTACTGGGAGCTGGAGGGAGAGGGGCTATTGTACATCACCTACAACCCCAACAGAACCATGAGACCCTTTGTGCCCCTCTATACTCTCCAGGGGGTCTGAAGGCCACCTTCCTTCTCACACCCCCACGGCTCCCAAGGTGGGCGCCACCAGGCCGGGCTGCGCTGGAGCAGGAGTTGCGGGAAGGGCGGGGAGGGAAGACCCCTGAGGCCCGGGAAGCTGGTGGCGAGGAGTCTGGGGAGAACAGGAGGGGCTGGGGAGGCAAGGTAGTGACCAGCTGAGGGGGAGCTGCGGGGGTGTCGTGGACAGTGAGGCAGCGAGGGAGGGCGTGGGGCCTGGAGGAAAATTGAGGAGTTTGAGGAGCTGGCGCGGAGGGCTGAGCGGAGGCTGTGGGTGGGGCCGAGGGAGGTGGTGGGTTAAGTGCAGGTGCGGAGGGGCCCCCTTGATGCTCGGAGGTACCGGACGCAGGTGAGGGCTCTGCCGGCACCTGAGGGCTGGGAGCAGGGTCTGACCGCAGCGCGTGCGGGTCTTGGGGAGGAGCCAGGGTCTCAGTCAGAGCCGAGGTCCCCAGGCTGGTTCTCGATCCGAGCTCGGAGGCTCCGAAGGTGAAGCTCGGAGCCCGCGGCTGTCGGAGAGACCGCACCTCGGCCGCAGCAACTCGCTGGTCGGGGGCCAGCTGGGCGATGAGGGTGCACCTGGGCGTGCTAGCCGGCGCGGCGGCGCTGACCGGGGCGCTCGGATTCGTGCTCCTGGCAGCCGCCATCGGCACAGACTTCTGGTACATCATTGACACCGAGCGGCTGGAGAGGAGCGGCCCGGGGGCGCAGGACCCTTGGGGGACCCCCAACAGCAGCCAACCCGAGCCTCTGAGCTCCCACTCCGGCCTCTGGCGGACCTGCCGGGGTAAGGGTGCATCGGGGGCCGGGGCTGTGGCCGCCAACGCCCGGAGCGCGGTGTCTGCTCTCATGGGACATGGTGCTCGCCGCACACCGCTCCCCTAAGTCTCAAGCATAGAATGCAAGGTCTAGGGGTGAGATGGGGGGCAGAGGGCGGGGCTGCAGAAGCCCTTCTAAGGGGTGCCTAGCTGCCCCCGCAACTGCTCTAGTTCTCCCAATGCCCTCCCCGGGTGGAACATTCAGGGCGAAGGTGGGGGCGAACCGCCAGCCAGAGGTGGGAATTGCAGGGTAGCCGCGCCCCCTGACTCCTCCGTCCCCTCCAGCGCAGAGCCCGTGTACACCGCTGATGAACCCCTTCTGGCAGGAGAACGTGACGGTCAGCGATGCGAACCGACAACTTCTCAGTGAGTCTGGGGAGGGTGAGGGCGGAGGGGGCGCCCTGGATGTGGGCGTCGAGTCTGGAGCGCTTCCCCAAATAGCGAGCTCGGGCACCGCGGAGGGGGCGGCTGCGGTGACCTCTGATGGGGAGCCTGGGACAGGTGAGAGGCGGGGCCTCTATTGCTCCACCTGTAGTGTGTGCCTTGTAAGATTCACCCAACCAACCTGGACCAAAGGCTTTTTACGCGCCAGGCACCCTGCAGTGATGATTGAAGCCCAGGCCATGCCCTCCAGTTTACAGAGTAGCCGAGGAGAGAGAGGTGGAAATACTCGGTGACATTTCAGAGAGGCCAGCAGCATGAGGGCAAGTGGGAAGCTGGAACTGGCACCTAAACCAGTCTGGGGAGCTGGCCAAAGCCTCACCCACAGACCCCCAAGGCAGCGTCCTCCGTCTCCTTAGTGCCCCTACGTCAAGCGCTTGGCCGCTGCGGAGGTGCCCAGCGATTGGAGGCAGGGCCCCTCCTGCCAGGGCCATTGTACTCACCTTCCTGGTGTCTGGTTCTCAGTGCCAGAGTAATGTAAAGCAAATGGGCTGAATTAACCCTTCTGGAAGGGGGGAAATGAACGGAACAGCCAATTCGCTGAGACTTGCACTGGGCCAGGCATGGAGCTAAAGGACTATTAATATCACTTGATTCCCATAACCACCCTATGACACTGTTATCTCTGTGTTTACCCGCATTTTGCAATGAGGAAACTGAGGCCCACAGAGGCATTCTGGAAGGATCTCTTGAGGAAACAGGACGGAATTCCATAGACCTTGAAAAGCATGGACTGTTTCTGATAGATTTACTGAGGCCTGGGTGTGGGACTCTGAGGACCGAGACAAGTCCCTAGCGTGACCCTCAGGTCTGGCAGGGTCTCTCTTCAACCCCATATTCCCCTCTTGCCCATTTCTCCCAGCTGTGCTGGCTTTGACTTAGCTCTGGAATCTGCTGAGCTTCCTCCTGCCACAGGGAATTTGCACATACTGTTCCCTGTATCTGGAGACCCCTGCACCCATCCAGCCCCTTGATGCAGTTAACTCCTCACTGCACAGGTCATATGGTTTTCTTTTGGGGGATGATGTTAAAAACTGGCTCCTTCACAGACTGTGAGCTCCAGAGGGAAAAATATAAGCTCCCCACCACTGGTTTTTAGTGTTTAACAGAACTCGGGCAGGTTACTTTTGAATTTAGAGAGATAGATCAAAAACAAAAAAAGCTGAAAGAAATACAAAGCACAGAGGGTATTCTTAAGCAGATCCTTTTCAGTAGATGATTGTAAGACTTAAGACAGTTGAAACTGTTTTAAGCTTCCTTAGTTGCCTTAGAAGCCTTTTGTTTATTGTAATACTGGTGTCCTTACTAACGGGAAGTTCTGTGCGGCTTAACTTTTATCCTATGTAAATATACAGGGAGAGAGAGAGAGAGCTCTGTGTCACTTGTTAGAAAGAAATTTAAGGCTGCACAGATGGGCAGGCAGTGTGGATTTTGCTCTCCGAAGAACTCCTGCCACTGCCCAGGAGTGAGTGCCCGTCTGGGAATGATAGCCCTGTGTTAATTAACCTCTAATAAACTTATCTAAGTTGCCAAGCTGGATTGATCTGGGTCATTTCTTTGATCTCTTGGCACCATCTCATTTTGGAAGATGGTTTTTTCTACACTGTCCTGGGGTTTTCCTGAAACAGCTCCATGAGAGCAGAGACTATGTCACGTTGCCACTGATGAATTCTTAATTTTTGACATAGAAGCTGGGATATAATCAGCCATGAATCAAAGTCCACTGAACAAGTAGGAAAGTGAATGCAAAGTGTAGTCCTGTTGTGCCCAGGAGTTCCACAAAGACCACATTGCCAAACAAGCTGAATTTACAGCAGAGTTCCTTTATTGAAGAGCCACCAGCAACTGCCTCAGTCCCAACATAGGGTTTTTGAAAGCAGTCCCAAGTGCTTAAAGGGTCGGTTTTTTCTTTTTTTTTTTTTTGAGACAGAGCCTCAAGCTGTCCCCCTGGGTAGAGTGCCGTGGCATTACAGCTCATAGCAACCTCCAACTCCTGGGCTCTAGCGAGTCTCCTGCCTCCGCCTCCTAAGTAGCTGGGACCACAGGCGCCCACCACAACGCCCGGCTATTTTTTGGTTGCAGCTGTCATTGTTGTTTGGCGGGTCCGGGCTGGGGATTCGAACCCGCCACCTTAGGTGTACGTGGCTGGCGTCTTAGCCGGTTGAGCTATAGGCGCCGAGCCAAAGGGTCGGTTTTTTAAGGCTTGGTCTGCATCGTGGTTGGCATGCAGGCTGTCCAGGTGCAGTTGGGTGGGGTAGCAAGTAAGCGTTGTACAGAAGCAGAATTTTGCAGTTAGTCAGCCATACGTCATACATTTTTGTTTTAATATTTTCCCCCTATACATCTTAGTTTCAGTACTTTCCCTCCATATATCTTAGTTTCAGTAATTTCTCTACCTGATATTGTTTAAAGGTCAGTCTGGGGACAGTTGGTACTTCCTGGACTATTTCTCAGGGAGTTAGCCAAGCAAGAAACTGGGAATGAACTAGAAGGAAGAAATCAATTAGTATTTTCTCATTTATCTTGGGAGTGAACTAGACTGATTTCATTTCATTTGAAAGCTTACAGTCTGGAAATTTGCTAGGAGTTAACGGGTATTTTTCCATTATAGCCTAGGCCTAATAGTCCATTAAAGGGGAGCTCAATGTGTATGTTTATTGAATGAATAACAGTCCATTAGAGGGGAGCTCAATGTGTGTGTTTATTGAAAGATTGTAGAGATATATAGTGAACCACAACGGTTTCTCTAATGTCCAGTGACGTGCTGGGAAATGGTTAACAACTGGCTGTCTGGGAACATTTCTAAAACGCCCTAATTTGTAGTATTTGCCAAATTCTGGGGTATAAATATTTCCACTCTGGTCAGTTTCAAGCTGCCAACATGATATTACCTGGCTCACAAAATTCTCACAATCTTAATCAGCTCTTGTGAGCTGATACCAGGCAGCAACAGAACAGCACTGTGCACAGTCCCACTGCAGGAGCCATCCAGCCCGAGACACCGGAGTCTACGGGAGCGAGGAAAGGTGGAGGTGCCAAGTACTCTGTCCTGAGCCCCAAGCTGCACAGGGAGGAACTGTGGGTATTGCTGAAGTGTCATTTCAAGAATTATCAAGAAATCTTTTCGCCTGCTGAGCTACAGGCGCCAATCACATAAACCAGAGCTGGCAGGTTCCAATCCAGCCTGGGCCTGCCAAACAGCAATGACAACTACAACCAAAAAATAGCCAGGCATTGTGGTGGGCGTCTGTAGTCCCAGCTACTTGGGAGGCTGAGGGAAGAGAATCGCTTAAGCCTAAGAGTATGAGATTGCTGTGAGCTGTGACACCATGGCACTCTGCTGAGGGCGACATAATGAGACTCTGTCTCAAGAAAAAACCAAAAAAAAAAAAAAAAAAAAGAAAAAGAAAAAAGAAATCTTTTATTGGATTAAGGAAGATAGGGGTCAAATGTGGTGGCTCACACCTGTAATCCTAGCACTCTGGGAGGCGAAGGCCAGGTGGATTGCCAGAGCTCAGGAATTTGAGACCAGCCTGAGCAAGAGTGAGGCCCCCATCTCTACTAAAAATAGAAAAACTAGCTTGGTGTTGAGCTGGGCCTCTTTAGTTGCAGTTACTCTTTTTTTCTGAGATAACTCTCACTATGTCAGTGAGTGCTGTGGTGTCACAGCTCACAGCAACCTCATACTCTTGGGCTTAAGTGATTCTCTTGCCTCAGCCTCTTGAGTAGCTGGGACTACAGGTGCCCACCACAACACCTGGCTATTTCTTGGTTGTAGTTGTCAGACCTGGGCTGGATTCGAACCCACCAGCCCTGGTGTATGTGGCTGGTGCCCTAGCTGTTGAGCTACAGGCTCCGAGCCTTCGTGATGATGATGATGATGATGATTTTTCTCTGAGAAAACCCAAGCAGATAGACCACTTCAGTGCTCGATAACTCACTGCAATCTCCTGGCAGACAGAGAGCGGTTAGGCAAGCCCGATCTGCTCACCTGTCTCCTTGATTCTACTCACCCAGCTTGATGGAGTTGAGCAGAAACATCAAGTTCATGAATGGCGACATCCCACAACCTCAACTATTTCAGCCAGGTGACACAAGTTTTCAACAAACAGTTTCCTTGTCAGCAAAATCCACCTTCCTGGGATGTTTTTTCTTCCAGATCAGCTCTGGGGAAAGCATGGGTTTGGTTGCTTGGCTAGGGGCTAGAATTAGTTTTGTTGGAAAGGAGGTCATCAAATTCCACATGGCATGGATTAGAGAGACATGGTCTAGGACCATGGCTAGCTACGTCAGCCAGCAATCTTTTGCTAGTAAGCGACAGAAACTCAAATCATACTGGGTTAAATGAGAAAAGCTATTAGTGGTCCATGTAACAGACAAGCTCAAGCCCGCTGGGATCCAGACCGCTGAACTCAGTTTCTTTCATCTTCTCTTTGGGGCTTTGCTTTCTTCTGCTTGAGTCAGCTAAGTTCTCTGCTGTCTCAGTAACTCTAAGGAAGGAGAGTTTTCTAGTTCTCAATAATCTCACACAAGTTCCAGCTTGGTCTTCCATTGGGCCAGATTGGGTCCCATGCCTGGTCTCAAGCCAGTCACCATAGCCAGGGGGATGGAACGTGCTGATTGGCCAAGCTGAGTCATGTGTTACTTACAACAAGGGGTGGGGATAGGATGATCCATCCATAGGGGTCTGCAGTGGCGAAGGAGTGGCCTGATAGGTCAAAGTGATATTGTTGGGTGAAGGGCCGGGCAAAACCACAGATGCCCATGTCACTGAGATTGGATCCTGGCTGTACTTCTTACCATCTCTATGACTTCTGCTGAGTCACCTGTGTCCATGAACAGGGTGTTCTAAGGAGGTCACATAAACAAAGGACCCAGCCTCAGATTCTGCACATAGTAGGGGCCCCATTAACACCTCCTTCTTCTGCACTAACTCATAT